TGCACTTCTGAATCTACACTTTCTTGGAGGAGTATCTTTATATAATTTTCACAAAGGCACAAGTAGAATAGCTGTGGTCCTGATGTTTCCTATATAAACTCATTACCCCCTTACCCCCCAAGGAAACCACTTGCTTTAGTGTTATTTGGCTTGAAGGGGGAGAGATGAACTCAAGCTGCTTCTCTCAGTGCAACCCGTTCCATTCATTCCTCAAGACCAAGGGTAAGTAAGGGTCTCTCCCTGTTCCTCAATGACTTTCCTAACTTCTATTGCTCATATTGAATCAACGTCCTTCTCTTGTCCTCTGTTCAGACTTTGTCACACAGATCTCTGTAGTGCTCTGGGGTGTGAATCTTGCTTTACCTGTTAAGTTAAAAGATGTGGAACATATGAGTTGATTCTCCTGACTTTTCTTCAAGCCCAAGCTGCATGCCAAACATTTGAAAGCATTTATCTTGGATTTGTAAATGAGTGGATGAGCCATAGCTTTAGTCTGTACCTCTCCTCTTTCTCCTCCCTGCTACAGAAACTGTGCTATTTCCAGCTTGAACATTCTAACTGCTTCCAACTTAAAGTGGCACCCACAGAAAGAGCTAAGTCATGGTTTTCAGTCTTGGTGGCACAATGGGGTCATCTGAGGGAGCTTTCAAAATTTCTGATGCCCAGTCTAAACTCTAGACCAATTAAGTAAGAATTCTCTAGGGATAAGATGAAGACATCAATATTTCAAAAGCTCATGAAATTATTCTACCGCTCCTTATCTGTCAGTTTATCACGCTGTGGTGGCTTGCACGTTACTGAGATTCTGGAAGCTATGCCACAGTTTTTCCAATTGCTAGCAGGGTTACCCATAGTAGACAGATTCCAGTGGAGTTTTTAGACTATGGTAGACTAGGAAGAAAGGGCCAGAGGTTTACTTATAAAAAGACCCAGTGATCCCAACAGAGAGTTCTCTGACTCATTTTCTTTGGATATAACATCCAGAGGGATCTTTGCTGAGAAAGACCTCATGCTTGATAAAAATAGATGGGCGATAAGGATGAGGAAGACTGTGGGAGAATTTAGCACAAAAGCTACAATTAGGAACTCAAATTTTTTGGTGATCATGAAGTTAGTGCAGAACTGGGTAACATTTGGTTTTATTGCACACAGGGTTGTCATAAATTAGTATTAGCTGGTTATCTGCTAAATATATTTTTTCTTCATTATCATCTATATAATCATAATTTTAATTATTATCTTTCATCATCATCATCATCATCATTACCATTATCTACCTATCTCTGATTGTAATATGCTTCCAAGTTTGAGAAAACACTAAGAATAGAGGGTTAGGTTAGGGAATATAGTCTTCTCTCTAAATTTCTGGGGTTAAACACCTCAACCAAAAATTACCTTAAAATGTTTCCTCCAGTCCATTCATTATTTCAAATCCAATGCACCAATATGATGAAGCCACTCAACAGCTCAGAATCTTTCAGTGGTTTCCCAATTCGTGCAGTGTGAAGTTTGAACTAGCACATTGGATCAGTTCTCATGGGCTGATCCACACTGATCTCTTCAGGTTCCTCTCCCCCATCTTCTTCCTCAAATCTTACATTCGGGTTACACTACTTTGAGCAAATTATGGTTTAATTTGCCCCCAGGACTCTGTTCATCTGTAAATATGAATAGAAAGTCATGCTTAATGACATTATGTAAGTTTGTGTTTTGTTTTCCTTCCTTTTCGTTGCAATTTGAGTGAAATTTTACAAGGCTACTTGGTTTTTCTGTTAAATAATCCATTCACATTTGATTTTCTGACATCAATTACAATATACGTAACGTAGCCACCTGCTTCACACTTTCTCCCTGTGACTGGTGTTTCCATTTGTCTTTCTTCCCTATCTCGGCCTTTTGAATGTTATCCATAGAAGAATGTTACCCTTTTTATCTTATGCAGGTGGGTATTCTGAAGAGTTAGCACTTTCCTGAGGCTATGGTTCATATTATGGGTTTAGCCATATTATGGGTTTGGCTAAAAGTGAGCCATTTTGAAGGTGAATTTTGTTTCACATCTTAAGGGTGACTGTAAGTTTAGGGTTCCACTAGTGAGTCTGGCCATTTTTCTGTTTTTAGGTTTTGCTTTACCCTTTTGACCCACTCTATCCAGGACTTGATGATACTGTGATCCCATCTATTATTTTTTAACTTTTAATTGATATCTATTGTTTTTGCTTTGTTATTTTAATTGTTTTAATTTATTTTTATTGATTCAAGTGAAAATTTACTAAGCATATTGGTTTTCCATTCAATCATTCATTTGTGTTTTGCTTTATAACATTAATTACAATATAAAAAAATGTAGCTATAACTCTTCCTACTTCTAGCCTGTGATTTCTGTTTCCATTAATCCTCTCCAACCCTTTCCTGCCTTCTGACCATGATCCCTTGTGCAGTGGTCAGTAGCAGTAGCTGGGTGTGATGTCATATGATTTTGGATGGCTTTTTATAGCTGAAGACTAAAAGTTAACCACTTATAAGCCTATTTTCTCTCATTTTCCTTTAAGATCTTTAAAGAAAGACACTATACTACTTTCTCTTGCATCCTTCTCAGAGTCCGTTTCCTTTTTAGGAAGTTCTTCTTAACTTCTAGCTTGAGATAAGCTTAGACTAATCTTGTTGCCAGGAGATGATGGGACATTGTATTCCTCTAGTTTTTATGACCTGCATGTTTTTCCTGTTGCTGCCTTGAACATGCAATGAGTCCAAGTTGGTATCTGTACTTTTTTTTTTATAACCATCTTAAAGGGATGATAGGTTGTTATCAAAAGGTTCAAAGTGAGAGACTCAAGAGTTGGCTCCTGCTCAGGACGGACCAGTGTGTGTGTGTATATGTGTGTGTGCACGCACGTGTGCGTGCACACCCCTAGAGTCAAACAGGATGATTCCTGGCTGAGTAGCTGTTCCATACCATTTAAACCTCTTCTCCTACCAATTAAGTGAATAACCAAGAGTCAGCTGCTTTTCTAATGCACTTGGATTAGGCGTGACAAATGACCCTGCAGGAGAGGAAAACCTCCCCCAACTATTTCCCAGAAGAATGTTCTTAGAGGTTGTAATTAGTATGTCTATTCTTCCATGCCTTGTTCAGAGACATCATGCTCAGAGCTCTGTGCTGAGCTTAAACTAAGAGCTCCTAGAATAGGATACGTGCAGGGGTCCAGGGGTCCGCTCAACCCAGCAGGAAGGTAATAGATAAGCCATGTAGAAAGTCCTAGAATGGGGAATCTTCAATTGATATTGTGATGAAAGTTGGACTTTACTCAACTTCCAGGCATGAAGTGGTCTCCATGGTAAATGTCTACATAAGTCAAAACCAAGTCAATTGCCATCGAGTTGATTCTAAATCATGGTGACCCATCTGAACTGTGCTCCTAGGGCTACCAATGGCTGTTCTCCAGAATTAGCTTGCCAGATCTTTCTTTCTTTCTTTTTGGGTTTCGGGTTTTTTTTTTTTTTACCAATTTTATTATTTTAATTATGATTTTCATGAAAGTTTACAGTTGTTGTTTGTTGTTATGTGTGTCAGCTTGCTTGTGACTCATAGTGACCCTCTGTACAACAGCTCTGAACCCTGTTCTATCCTGTGCTATCCTTATTGTCTCTGACACACCTACCCTCATTACCCCAGTCACTGAATCAATTCATCTCATTGAGGCTCTTCTTCTCTTGTGCTATCCATCCATCTTTCCAAGCATGACATCCCTTTCTAAGGACCAGTCCTTCCTTGCAACATATCCAAAATATGTCAGATAAAACCTCAGAATCCTTGCTTCCAAGGAGCAGCCTGGTTTCACATTCTCTAGGCTGAACCTGTTTGTTACTTTTTTCCAGCACCACAGCTCAAAGGCATCAATTATCTTTCTATCATCTCTAGTTGTACAGTTTTCTGACACATAATAAGTAATTGCAAAAACTATGGCCTGGATCAGGCACATCTTAGTCTCCAGACTGACATAACTGCTCTTCAGTAGTCTGGAGAGGTCTGTGACAGCAGACAGTCCCAATGCATTTTGTCTTTTGATTTCCTGGCTGTGAGTACTGAGACTGTTAACTGTGGAGTCAAGCAAACTAAAGCTGTTTACAATCTCAATCTTTTCACTGTCTATCATGACTCTGCATTTTAATTTATCCATTGTTAGACATTTTCCTCCCTAACACCTCTTCCCACCAGCTCACTTAAAAAAAAATAAAATTGTTCATTGTAACATAATTCAGATCTTTTTTTTGAGGTGACTTCAAGTGGATTTAAATCACCAAATTTTCATTTAGTAGCTCCCCACTTCTGTGCTGTACAGCAATCTCAGAACTCTAAACTATGATGGATAATATTGTTTTAGTAAGTTGGACTCCGTTGAGAGGTGAGGAGGGTTCTTAGAAGAAGAAAAAGTTGTATCTGACTCTACAAACATGATGTTTCCAACACCTTGAGTTTCACTCCCTCTCTCAGTGGAGGTGCTTCCAAGAGTATTGGAGGGGCTTGCTCTATTGAAGACCACATTTTTTAAACCTAATTTCTTGAGGCAAAATTCTCTCAAGAGATTCTTGTGCTTTAAGAGTTGAGATCAGAGCGACAGGAGTCAGTGATCCAGGTCACTGGAGATGGGAGGAACACGGAGTCACCTAATTAGACCTTCCTAATGAGCAGATGCCTGGAAATTTGAATTTGGTCTCATTAGGAAGGAAACTACACAAGTCCAGCCTTGGATTCAGAGGAGGCAAAATAAGACTAATGATGGAGAAAATCAAAGCAATATGCAACTCCAGGATTAGGCCTAAGGTGTGTTCAGGATTTGAGACAATGACCTGATTTGGTTAGAGAACAAAACTCAAGAAGTCATCAACTTAATGATCCAATGCTTCTGGGACCTATAAAAAGGGTCACCCTTCTCCTTGTGTCAGAAGTTTCTTTTTCGTTTGAGATTTCGAGCTAGGACATCTTCTTGCATCCTGAGAAAATGATGAGCCCACAGACCTGCAGGCCTTCCCAGGGTACCAAGGATTTCAGTGGCTGCTCTGCCATTGGCGCTTCTGGTCAGAGCCGCACCTCCTCCAGGTGCAAGTCAACCTCACGTTGTGGGGCAGGCAGCGCTGCCACGGCCTGTGCCATGATCTGCGGTACCTTTGGCAGCAAGAGCCTGCACAGCCTTGGCGGCAGCAAGAAGATCTCACTCAGTGTGGCTGGAGGAGCTTCCCGGGCTGCGAGCTCAGCACAGGGATGCTCTGGTGCCTTTGGAGGCAGCCTGTGCGGGCTTGGGCTCGGAGGAAGGGGTCACAGTGGGGGCTTTGGAGGAGGCTCCTTCGGTGCTGGAGGGAGAGCTGGAGGCTTTGTGGGCTCAGGGTGCTCTCCCCTGGGCATCCAGGAGGTGACCATCAACCAGAGCTTACTGCAGCCCCTGAACATGGGGATTGACCCCCGGATTGGGGAGGTGAAGACCCAAGAGAAGGAGCAGATCAAGACCCTCAACAACAAGTTTGCTTCCTTCATTGACAAGGTGAGGCGTGTAGCTGTTGGGGCCTCTGGATAGGTAGGGGAGCCTATGCCCGTGAAAGTCTCTTGGGCCTGGGGATACAGGGGAGCCTGGGGACGTGGAAGGCAGGTCCACTCATGAGTGAGATGTCGGGCAGGCTGTGACCTCTCCCGCATGGTTGATGACAGGTGCGGTTCCTGGAGCAGCAGAACAAGGTGCTGGAGACCAAGTGGTGCCTCCTGCAGGAGCAGACGGCTGCTTCCAAAGCCAGTGCTAATGACCTGCAGCCCTTCTTTGAGTCTTACATTGGCTGCCTCCAGGCCCAGCTGAGCAAGCTGCAGACTGAGCGAGGCCGGCTGGATGGGGAGCTGTGCACGATGCAGGGGGTGGTGGAGGAGTACAAGAAGAGGTGAGACACAATGCTTACATGTAGTGTGAGGCCCAGGTGCCAAATGTGGGAACATTCTTCTGGTTCAGTGAACCATGACTGGGGCACTATGAAGAAAGGAGTCAACATGACATAGTGGATTTTAGGGTATCTCATGTCTATGAACAGAGTCTCTCAAGCCTGACTTACTAGAACTAGTCTTGTTAGCCATTTCTAAATATAGTCACAGGTAATTTATGTAACCCCCACACCCAGTGCCTCAGTTTCCTTTTTTTTTTTTTTTTTTTTTGGTAAAGTAGGGATCATAAGCTTGCTGTGACTGTTACATGAAGTTAACATCTACTGAGCTTTTGAAAGAATGCCTGGCATGTAGTGATACACTATTATTATCATCAATTAATATTAATGAAAGATGTAGTAACCAAGTAGATAATTGATGATTATTAAATTATCATTAAAGTGCTATTAGTTTAGATGTCTAAAACAATAGGTTATAATAAAGTGCATTCAGCACCTCTATTTTGGGGCCTTTGCTAGGTAAACAAGACGATGAGAGTCCCTTTGTCCACAGATCCATTGTCTGTCTGAGTTGTCACATCCGTGTTTGTGGGTGGTGGTTGTAGAGGGTCTGGGCCCTTAGCCATGACTTTGGTTTATGGCCCAGGCTGAGTTAGAGGGCTGACAGAGGGGAGCCCAGATGTGCTTGCCCCAGAACTAGGGAAGAAAGGACAAAACTGTAGGGCTAGGTGAGAAGCATAGAGACCTGGAGCAGGGAGATGAGGTGTGGTCCTTCATCCTGGGGGCTCAAGCAGGGATGTGGGAGAAAAGGAGAGGACTACGAGTATGGAACCAGGCTGGAGAATGGAAGTGATTGTACTTCATTGTGTTCTGATTGGCCTTGGCTGTTATCCTGTTACCTGGCCCATTATCAACACACAGAACATTCATGTTAGTGCTTAGAAGGACCGGAGGGACATAAGCTCAGTGTCTATCTTTACCACATTTATGCTTGGCTCACCCATAGTATCTCAACCTTGGAATAGAAGGAGAGAACTGAGGTTGATCAGGGCGCCTCTGTCTAGCATGGCTGAGCCTGAAACAGATTGCTATCCTCCTGCAGGTATGAAGAAGAGATGAACAAGCGCACAGCTGCTGAGAATGACTTTGTGGTTCTCAAGAAGGTGAGGCAAGACTGAGGTTGGATGAGGAACAGTGAGGGTGGAATTGGGGCCAAAGCCAGATTAGTTAATGCTTCAAATTTTTATCATGCCTTTGAAACTCCCCCAAACTGGCAACCTGGTCCCCTCTCCTAAGTCCTATCCTGTTTCATTTGTCATGAAACCATTGCTAGAGGGGTCTGGGACAAGCAGGGAAGGGGGAAGGAGTAATGAGAGAGAATGAGAAGGACGTTAGTCTCTTTGAGCCTAAGATATTGCTCGGGAGAATTCCTCCCAGGCTGTGGAAAGGGTACAGGGTAACCCCAAAGGTCTGCAACTGTTACTATCTTATCTATTTAAAAAGGTGTACATTTTGCTTCTCCAACCCTTGCTACTTCCAGAGACAATAGGGCTTTTTAAAAACTGCCAACTTGTATTAGAACACACTTTCCTGCTATGCTGAAACATTATCAGTAACCATAATAACCCTCTTATAATTCCTGAATTCCATTTGCAAGCCACCCTTACTCTCAGTGAATTAATGACCAGTGTGAAAGTTATTTTCATTTTCTTTCACAGAAATTGTAATTATTGGAAAGTGGGTATAATGATTTCAATACACTTTTTCATTTCTACCAGGGAGATTTTTAAGCTGGTTTGCTCACAAAGTTTGTATACATTGTGTTTCACACTATTCTTCTCTACTGTGAAATATTTTTAACAAAACATTTGTTAATTCATTTTCAAATGATTCACAATTAATGAGCTTATATTTAAGAACAAATAAGCATACACTAATTGCTGTTCTGATATTGTCCCTCCCCAGGAAGTGGACACTTCCTACATGGCCAAAGTGGACCTGGAGGTCAAAGTGGAAAGCCTGGTGGACGAAATCAACTTCCTGAGAACCCTCTATGAAGCTGTATGACTCGGTTCCAGTCTGTCTTGGCTTTAAGATACTCAACTCTTCTGTTCCACTTTTCCTTTCAATTCTTGGTCTTTCCTCTCTACATTTTATTGCCACACCACCTAATAAGCTTCTGGGACTACTACCGTCTTTGTGAAATATGTCTTTCTGACAAAATCCTTACCTCTCTGCATGTTGGGTCACTAAGCCAAAAATTAACAATTTGAATGCAGCAGTGGCTCTGACCCTCTGCTTCCCTGACAATTCACAGCCTTGGAAACCTGACGAACGATTGTCATGAAACAGAAGCTACTTGAAGACAGTGGGCTTTCTTTCCTTTTTCTTCATTTCTGTGTCTTCCACATCTCGATCATTGGCACTTTGTACCAGTCTGAGAGCTTTCTTCCTGATCCATAAAGTGTGGTCAAAGAAACCTATTGAAGCCGCACAATAAGAGTAGTGGGCAGGGGTCATTACTGCCTTTAGGCTGGTTGATATCTTCGCTCACATTGAAAAATACAGAATCATAAAAAAAAAAAAAACCCAAACAAAAAACCCCCCAAAACCCCAAAACTAACCTTACTGGTTTGTAATTGGAACCTGCTAACTAGATTGAACAGGCTTGTGTTTGTGTTGACAGGAGTACAACCGGGCTCTGGCGGAATCCAACGACATGTCTGTGGTTCTATGCATGGACAACAACCGGCACCTTGACCTGGATAGTATCATTGCTGATGTCAAGGCCCAGTATGAAGAGATCACACAGAGGAGCAAGGCTGAGGCCGAGGCCCTGTACCAGACCAAGGTGGGTGAGCTTGGCCTCCAGGACAATCCCTGGCCTCACTAAGCCTTCTAGGCCCAGGTCTCTGCACGATTAGGAGTGTTAGGAGCCCAGTGACACAAGCGGCTCATAACCTCTAGACTTCTAGAAGGAATTGATGTGATGAAAAGCAGATTCAGGTGTTCAGAAGGGCTTGATGAATGCCAGCTGTCATCACTACCATCATCATCATCATCCATGATATTAGGGCCACAGATAGCCCATAGGCTGCTTTTGGTCTGACTAGAACATACGTTCCTCTGGGCAGATGAATTAAAGTAGGATACAACCTGGCAAATAGAATGTGAGCTAGGTCTTAGCTCTCACTTACACATTGAGCCAAAGGCAGAAGCCCTGCTTACTGCTGCCATCACTACCACTACTCTCATCATCATCATCAATCATTTTCTTCTTGTTTTTCACCACCATTGGCTAAACAAGCTGTTAGGTGAAGCAAGCCCAGAGAGATAAAACATAGTTATCTATGTTTCTCTACTTTGGAAAAATCACATCAAACTATTTCAGGTGACTTCCTTCAGGGCATGTTATTTGGGGAAATAGCCCTCCAACCCGCTTTGTACATACACCAAAGCTTGCCCTTCGTAGTCAGATCGCATAGTTTCTTTCTTTATTTTGGGGGCGTGGGGTGGTACTCTGTGATTTCCTGGTTGGCAACCTCCTATCCCTCATCTGTTGCAGCTTGGGGAGCTGGAGACCACGGCTGGCATGCACAGTGATGACCTGAGGACCATCAAGAATGAGATTGCTGAGCTCAACAGAATGATCCAGAGGCTGCAGGCAGAGATTGAGAGTGTCAGGAAGCAGGTATACCTTCGTGGAGGAGAAGGGGACATGAGGTGGGGTGTTCTGGCTGCTCAGAGCTTCTGAGATTAGTCAGCCCCATGCTGTAGAATGACAGCCCTGACATTCTCAGGCTTACTATTCAGTATTTGGAAGGCAAAGCAATGTTTGCAAAGGGGAGGTCAAGCTCTACCCTATTATTCTCTTACTTTCAACCCCCTCAAACGAACGAGGGCCTTAAATCACATGCTATCTGAGTCGTTGGGGGGATGCCACCTCTGGAACAACACTCGATAGTCCGGGTCATCCTGTCTCTTTCCTCTTATTTTGCTAATTAAACTGTCCACTAGTCCTCATGAGCTCTTTTAAGACTTAAACTGTTTCACTAGAATGTCTTTCCCCAACCTCTTCAGCATTCATTCAAACTCCCATTTTTCCTTCAAAAAAGGCACCAGATAATTTTTCCTTCTAGAAAACCTCTTCTTCCCCAACCTAACACTTTCTGCGTCAGCATCCATCTCCTGGGCTCTACGATGCTCTGTATGTTCCCCCATCATGTCATGGCCTCATTGTAAATGTCTACTTGTCAGTCTCCTGTATTCAAGCTGTGAGACTCAGGGGCTGGATCTCTTTCATTGCTATCACTCAATGCCCAACAGTGGAATATAGGGCATGTATATTAGGGAAGAAGTGACTGAATGGCTCAGACTTGGAGGAGTGACATTGCTGATCCCACTGCTCAGTGCTGCTTACCTTGAACCCAGATTCCATAATGCTCTATCCTAAATCAGGGCCACCTCAGAGTCACTTCACAACTGGGATGCTTGTCTCCATCACTAGTGATGACAGACAGATGAAGGTCTATGCTCTCATTCCATTTACCCATGGGAGTCCAGGGACCAGCACAAAACTTCCTTCTCTCCTCTACTCCTGCCCCCAATCCAGAACAACAACCTGGAGACGGCCATCACTGATGCTGAGTGTCGTGGGGAGCTGGCCCTCAAGGACGCCCAGGCCAAGCTAACAGAGCTCAGGGAGGCCCTGAAGCAGGCCAAAGATGACCTGGCAAGATTGCTGTGCGAGTACCAGGAGCTAACGAGTGTGAAGCTGGCTCTGGACATCGAGATTGCCACCTACCGCAAGCTGCTGGAGGGCGAGGAGTGCAGGTGATCAGGGGGCCCCAACCCCAGTGGAAACCTGGCTTGGAAAGCAGGTTGATCAGGACTTGGCATCCTTGGTTAGGTGTATGGTGGATTTTAGCTTTGCTTGCCTGTATCTTCTTTGTGTATACCAGCATCCTCCATGGCATAGGACAGGGACTAAGTGGGACCTTAACAAATGTTTGTAGAGCTGCCTGTAAAGCAGCATTTTCCCCCTCTCCCCTCTTTTCCAAGTCCAGGGTTGCAAATTTGTTTTCAATCTGCTGCGGTAGAACACACCTGCTTGAAATAACATTTTCAGCTTGAAATAAGCCCACACGATGTGTCCTAGGGCCCAATGCTGGATGTTTTCGCAGGTTTTGGTTGCTTATTCAATCCTTGCTCCTGTCACCTTTTTCATGTGGCAAATTGAAGGCACATCTTACCATTCATTAATCTATGTTTCAGAGCAGCTGTGATTATGTTACAGGGGTCATCTCATTTATCCTTCTATTTACTATCTGGTGTTGTTTTAACACTCTCCTCTGGTTCCCTCTCTAAGGTTTTTGTTTGTTTGTTTTTATAAATTGTTATTACTCAGGGAGTTCTTCCTGATGTCTGACTTCAACCTAAGCTACTGCACTTAGCATTTGTGCTTTCTGAATATCCAGTTATTGAGCTATGGGAAGAACACTGAATTGAGAGTCCTTAAGCTGGATAATAGCTTGGGGCCAGCGTCTATCTCCTTTTTAAGCCACATGTTCCCCATCTGTAAAAAGAAAGATTGGCCTAAATACTCTTTGAGGAATGTTGTGATGGTAACATTTGGAGCGGGAGACAGTTCTATGTGCCTATAATAAATCTGATTCTTTCTCTTCTACACCAGGATGTCTGGGGAGTGTGAAAACACCGTGTGCATCTGTAAGTGCCCTACATTGAGGTTGGGTTGACTATCATTGCTGGTGAGCTTGCATGACCTCACTTCCCTTAGGATGGGGAGGCAGGGGCCAAATATAACTTCACTTCCTCTTAGTCTCTACAATAAAGAATTGCCCCTACCACATGTGAAACACCACTAGAATGATCTTTCCAGGACATAAGTTGGCTCTGTCACTTCTTGCTCTGATAGCCCCACAGACCTGCATTAGGCACTGTTCTGATTACATATGATCACATTTTCACAATGTGAGGTATTTGTTGTTGTTATGTGCCATCAAGTTGACTCTGGCTCATAATGACTCCATGAACATCAAGTGGAAAACTGAGACACAGACACTTTAAGTAACTTGTTTCCTGTCACCCAACTAATCAAAGGTGGAGCTAGGCAGTGTAGTCCCAGAATTCATTTTCTTAAACAGTTAGCTTTCACTTTTCTTTAATTACCATGCAATATTGGTCAAAAGAGAGAATAAGAGAAGATGTGATTCTGAGTAGGATTGAGGTAATTTACAATGAATTCATTATTAAGTTTTCCACGTTCTCACCTCTTGGAGCTGGAGGACAAGGCAAGCACACCTACGGCTCTTGTTTTTGCCTGGTACTGCCTCTGCTGAGCTCACCGGCTCACCACAGCGTGGCTGCTTTACTCTCTTCTCCTATGCTTTGATACCAGTCTTTCCTTCCACATCTTCCTCCCCATCCCTCAGTCCTAAGCCCCTCCACTTTCCCCACTCTGCACTCTCCCTGTCTCTACCTTGTCATCACCCTCTAACCTCTTCTGGGGAAGAGGTGTGACTGGATGTCTTCTTGCAGCTATGATTCGCAACACCAGCACCATCGGTTCAGCTCCTGCCGGCCGCAAGAGCAGAGGTGGCGGCTGCAGCATCTCCAGCTGTGGAGGCCAGAGCAAGGCTGGGGGCCAGAGCCTAGCTGGAGATCAGAGCATCCGGTCAACCAGCAGACAAGTCCCTGTGAGCCAAAACTCTGGATCCAGTGGCACCTCCTTCTCGGCCAGGATCATTCAGACCACCACCAGCAGCCAGCGCTCCTACACCAAAATCTGAGCTGTTGCCGGCCCTGCCCCTGCCACAAGTCCTCCTAGTGCACCCCAGCTCCCCATTTGCTTAGCTATCTCCAGTACTGGGGTCCTCCTTTCTGAGGAGCAGGGCAGTCAGACACCTTTAATCTTCTTGAGGGGTTTGATCCCCAACAGAAAATGCACCATTGGATCAAAGCCCCTGCTCTGGGTACCCACCCCCCCCCCACCCCAGTCCTGCCCTTAAGCTTGGTTTAGAGTTTGTCCTCACTTTTCCGTATTCCAAGGTCTCCACCTCATCCTCTCTAATAAACTGCTGCATTTTTCAGTGCATTTTAGTTGATGAGTTTTTTTTTTTAAGTCACCGCACAGAGGTGGTGAAATAGGGTAGAAGATGGGTAGGTGAAGAAAAGGGGATAGAACAAAGTTGGTCCTCAGAGATAACTCAGTGTAGGAGAGTGCTCAGCTCTCCTCAAGGATCTGGTAGAGGAGTGAGGGCTGCTGGGCAGATTTGGGCATGATGCAGGAGTGGGGAGGGGACGAGCCCCACTGCCTCCTGTGATAACCATGACTCTCTGCCTTGGTTCCTGAGACATAATCTGGCCTCTTCATTTTATTGACTGTTTTTACCCTTCGTCCCATGCTTGGCTAACTGGCTCTGGACACTGTCCTCTCTCCCCAAACATGGCTCCTAGTTTTGCATCTGTGTACCTCGTTCTATTACAGTTAGGCCTCAAGCCACAAGACTTTGCTGGCCTCCTTGACTGTGCCCTGGTCTCTGAGCTCTTGTAACTTACTCCTTGTAAACCTCAGACCCACAAGAATCCTTGCACTTAACCCATATCAAGAAGAGAACAATTCAAAGACTCAGCCTTTCTCACCTTGACTCATCTCCCTCATCTCTTCATTGACACTGCCTAAAGTCCTGGCTCAGCAGATGTTGTGTTGTGTTGTTAATTGCTGTTGAGTCAAACATAACTCATAGCAACCCCATGAACAAAAAGTGTGAAGCCTTTCTATAACTATTGACATTCATCAAAGTTCATAGAGTTTCTGGAGGCATGTTGTTTAGGAAGTAAATGCCACTCCTGCTTCCAAACCTGTTTTAAATTGGGAGCTCCACCAAACACTGTGCACCATGTATAACCATGATGGAATTTGATACCCCAAATGGCACAAGGTTCAGCGTCACAGCAACCCCAGGTTACCTCAGTAACATATTTACAGAAGAGGGCTGTACCGCTAAGAAGAATGTTCCTCCAAAATATAATAACAACCAACTTTAAGTACAAAGGCCCTCCCCAAGGTCTTGTTGACTCTAAACAACAGGCTTAAATAAAATTCAACCAATATAGTATGTTGTTGTTTCTATGTGTTATTGAGTCACCTGTGATGTATAGCGACCCTGTGTACAACAGCTCTGAACTTTTCCCAGTCCTGAGCCAGTCTCATTAACTCTGACACACCACCCCTATTGCCCCAGATACTGTATCAATCCATTTCATCCAGGCTCTTCTTCTCCTGTGCTGTCCATCCACCTTTCTAGCATGATGTCCTTCTGCAAAGACTGGTCTCTCCTGGCCATGTGCCCAAATTATGTGAAGTGGAGCTTCAAAATCCTAGCCTCCAAGGAGAGACTTTGTTTCACCCTCTCCAAGATAGACCTTGTTTTCTTGACAGTCCATGGTATGTTCAGACTGTCCTCCAGCACCACAACTCAAAGGCATCTATCCTTCTTCTGTCATCCTTAGTCATTGCATAACAAGTAATTGAGAAGACCATGGCCTGAATGAACAGAGGAAATTCCATGACATCAATGAAGAGCAGTAACCTCTCTCTCTCTCCTCGGTTATCATAGCTTTCAGGAACTCAAATGATCCTATCTGCCAATCCTTGGGGGGGATCCTTTCCAATTGGTCTGTTTGCTTTAGGGCAGCTGATGTCAGGGGCTTCTCTCCATGTTAGTTTTATCTTCCCTAGGACAGAGGAAGAGATGTTTCTGTGTTGACCAGAATCTCCATTCATTGTGCCTTTTGTTGTTTGGATCCTATTTCAGACATTGAGACAGTGCTCACTCAATTCTCCAGAGCTTCCTCAGTGTCAAGAAGTGGCATATTTTGGTTATGTTCTTAATTCTTTATGCCATTGGCACCCCTCTGCCATTTCCCCTAATTTTCTAGTTCCCTCCATTGCCCTGCCTCTTTTTCTTCAGATGCCTTTTCTTCCTCCACCCACTCATTAAATGTTAGAGTTCTGAAACATTTTCAAAACTTTCTTTGTACTAAAATATATGTGCAGGCATACCTTGGAGAGAAGCAGACTTGCTTCTAGACCAATGCAATAAAGCAAATATTGTAATAATATGAGCTATATTTTTTGTTTCCTGGTATATATAAAAACTATGTTACCCTCTATAGCCTGTCAAATGTACAATGCTGTTGTTTGCTGTCAAGTCAGAGCTGACTCATAGCTGGTCCTTGAGCAAGTTTTCAGAGGCAGAAAATCACATGAGAAGGGATTACAAATGTGCAATAACATTTTGATATACTGAGAGAATTGTCAAAATCTGACAGAGCAAAAGACACAAAGCAAGCATATGCTATTGGAATAATGGTTCTGACAGATATGCTTGACATAAGGTTACTAAAAATCTTTGATTTGTGAAGAACTCAGTATTTGTGAAGAGTAATAAAACAAAGCCTACCTATACAGAAAAAGAGCATAGATCTCAAATATTTTTCTTGTTGAATTTTCAAAATGAGAACCCACTCAAGTAAAGAAATAAACATGCCCATAATGTTAAAAGCCCTAACCTTCATCATCTTCAAATCTCTCCAAGCCTCATGATTCTAACAGCACATTTTCATTTCCTGTTTTTTAAATTTTTGTACTTCATGTAAGTGGAACAACACATTTTATGTTTTAATCTGTTTACTTAATGTAATGTGAGTGAGATTCATCTAAAGTGTTGTGTGTAGTTGTAGATCATTCATTCTTACTAATATTCTCTTTTGTGACCAAATGCCAGTTGAAGTACTTGCTGCAGAAGGTCAAGGACTACAGCCTTCAATATGGATTGAAGCTCAACATAAAAAAAACCACAAAGATTCTCACCACTGAACCGATTGGCAACACCATGATAGATGGTGAAGAGATTGAAATTGCTAGTGGCTTTAGTTTGCTTGGTTCCACAATCACAATCAACACTCTTGGTACCAGCAGCCAGGAAATAAAAAGATGAAATTGCAGTGGTAAAGTCTGCTGTCACAGACTTCATCAAAAGTACTGAAGAGTAATGATGTCAGTCTGGAGACCAAGGTGCACCTGATCCAAGCAATAGTCTTCGCAATTACTTGCTGTGCATCAGAAAGCTGGACAATGACTAGGGATTACAGAAGGAGAGTTGATGCCTTTAAGCTGTAGTGCTAGAGAAGAATATTGAATATACTATGGAATGCTAGGGGAACAAACAGATTTGTCTTAAAGAGGGTGAAACCAGGCTGCTTCTTGTAGGCAAGGGTTTTGAAGTTCTGTCTGGCTTACTTTGGGCGTGTTGCAAGGAGGTACCAGTCCTTGGAGAGGGACATCATGCTTGGGAGGGTGGAGGGACAGCACAGGATAGGAAGACCCTCGATGAGATGGATTGATTCAGTGAGTGGGGTCCATTAGGGAGTGGTTGCTTCAGAGATAGTAAGGTTGGCATAGGATAGAGCAGGGTTCAGAGCTGTTGTACATAGGATCACTGTGAGTAACAAGTGATTCGATGGCATGTAGCAACAACAACTTATAAGAGAGCTCTGTTGATATAGTCCATAGGGAATTGTAGTGCTAACTCAAAGGTGGTTTGACTCCACCAGCACAGCAGATCTGTGTGAGAAAGATGAGCAATTCCTCCTGTGATTTACTGCCTTGTAAATCCGCTGGAGGGTCTGGTATGAGTTAGTTTTAACCTGGCAGCAATGAGTTGAGAGTTAATTCTACTGATAATGGGCATTGGGTTAGATTCAGTTTTTGGTCATTATGAACAACACATATTCTGATACATATTTTTTAGTGAATATATGCACGTATTCAATATCTTTGTGAGTAACTAACAGTGGGATTACTGGGTCCATGGGCATGCAGATGGTCAACTTTAGTAGATATTCCATTTTCCATAGGGCAGTACCAGCTGCAGAATGTTCCAAATTCTTGACAACACTTAGTGTTTTCTTCATTTTGTATAGTTTTATTTTGTCAGTCTTTCTACTGTTATAGATTCCTGTGGGTCCCCCCCCCTTTTCCTACTAGTTCATTTACAAAACTATAATATATTGTTTTCAAGAACAAATTCTTTCAATTTCCCTTACCCCCGACCCATCAAATTGTACAACCCCATAATTAATCCTCTCCC